AATTTGAAAAAACCTCGATGCAACGGAAACTGCTGAACTTAATACTCGACGGTGTAGATACATAGGTAAAAGGAGGTTCCTTGCGGCGTCAGGCTTTGATTCGATTGCGTCTGGTGCATAGCGCGAAACAAGGGGAACACAAAGCTTCGATTACGTTGCGCCGGCGAGTTTCGTCTGGCAGAGCATGCGCCATTAACCGGCTACCGTCCGAAAACACACATAACAGCAGAACGAAAAAGGGGGGGAATCGATGGGTTATATCGCGCAAGAAAAATTCGCCGAACGCGCAACATTCTGCACACGGTTCACGGATATTTTTCACCGTGTTACACTGTAGGCTTGTAGCCGGCGCGGCGACCTGGGATGAAAACCTGGCCGAGAGCAGAGAGGGACAACGATGCATGGAAATTACGCTCGATAAAACACGCGTGGCCATTATTTTTGTGTTTCCTTTAAACGACCGTCAAAGGAAGAATTTTATTGCAACACAATGCGCCACTCGAACAGAAATTTATCTCTTCTGTCCCCGGGTTTCAATGGCCCCCTCCTTCTCGCCAGACGGTGCATTTCAATGTTCATTTATGCGCGCAGAATAGAACTTTACCGCGTGACACCAGAGACCCCTCCACCCCCGTATTTAATTCCATATTACCCCTTCTTAAAGAATTAAAAAAAAAAGACAGGGATTCGAGATCCGGTTCGGGGTCGATTCCCTCGACTTACGCGCTCAAGGTTGCAGAGCGTGTGACACGGCCATTAAAACACAATAGATCATTTCGAGCGGCGGTACTGGCATATATAATTAATTTCATAGAAATGCTCACAGCGATTCGTAATTGACTTCCTTTGCTCGCTTGCAAACTACATACTCGGTATTGCTTGTGTGTAACACACACATACACACACGCAGACACTGGAAACCATACGTGGCGTATTTCACTTTCCCGCCAGTTTGGTAGTTTCAATTTTCGATACGTTCTTCGAGGGTACCACCGCCGCTGGAGTCTACCACTTGTTCCATCCTGCTCGCGCAATCTCGCGTAATTACAGTATTACGCGTACCACGATGTTTCAGGTCGGTGGAACGGATTGAATTCTTCCTCCGTTCGCCTGTTACATGATCGACTATCGAGGAGCGACGAGGAATAGGTATTTCTCGTTGCAACGTAACACCGTTCCGTTCTCGTCTCTCTATAGGATACGGTTTAATCCGGCAAACAATCTCGTCGACGACGACGACGGAGCTTGGTGTGAGCTTACTATGGATGGAATTACGTCGTCTCGAGAGCGCTAATTACTTGAAGGGGCTAAATATATGGTGGGAATGATATTACTGTTTTGGATATCGCGATGAAATTTAGCGTGACGTCGTATTTGTTGTAAATAGACTGTGGATTTTTATGCAAATTCGTATTTTTATGTAGAAGGTAGATAGGCAACTGTTTTATCCGCTAAATATTATATCGAGTACTATATTTAATCTCTATCTATTTGTGCTTTCAAATTTTCCGTAAATGCACGAAAATCGACAGTCTACTTGTAAGTATTATCTCGTGAATAAAGGGAGAATTAGGGAAAATAATAAAAGGTACATATTTTTTTAAGTATATTTCAACATTTTTATTACATCAATAAGTAATCAAATGAATTTGCAAGAGTTCAGTCTGCTGCATAATTTGATTGTAAGTTAACAATCTATATTCAGGAAATTTGAATGGATTCTGCAAATGCTATATACGAGCATACAATGGCGGTACGCGGCAATTGGGAGCGCGAGAGCAGTCCGCAGGTCAACTCGCTAGGAAATTCATTTAATAGGGAGGACCGAGACAAGGTGCTGCTGCGATTGCCCGAGGACGATTTCATTGGTATTTCTTTCTGCGGTCTGAACTCACAGCCCCAGACGCATGACGGTCTCAAATAGAAACGACCAACTTCTTTTCCATCGCCTTTTTTTTTCCCCTCCTCTTGTCACTCTTCAAGACGAATCGTCATAACCGTAGCTAACTTCACGATGCATCGGAATTTGCTCCAACGTGAATTGCACAATACGGAGATGCAGAAATCATAAATCGGACAACCGAAATTATTACTATAACGTGACCTGGCTCCTAGAAAAATTAACCTCTGCGTAACGAGTGATTTCGTTTGATTATGTAATTTCCCCAACGGTCAGATCGATACTCGCTTACTTCCTCCTTTTTTTTTCTCACTCTCTCTCTCTCCGCGATACGATAGGAGGGCGAAGAATGCCGCTGCATCGGCGCTCGCCTCTCCTTCGCCAAGGCTGTTGGGGACAGATGCGCGCAAAAGAGAGAAGGTGAGAAGAAAAAACAACGCGAAGCGCGAGAGAGCGTCGCGAATTCGCAAACACGTTTGTCAAGAAAAGCCGCCGCGAGAGCCACTCTCGCAGGGGAGAGAGACACACACCGATCGATAAATTTAATTATGTGCAACGACCGTTCTTTCCATGCCTCGGGAATTTCCTTCTCGAACGATACCATGCCGGTGGATTGCGTTGAATGTTAAAAAAAAAAAAAAAGAAAGAAAAAACGGTATATATGCCTCTGGTCACGTAATTAGCATGAAAGATAATGATAAGATAACAAAAGGTGGATGGAGGTAAACACACCGGGAGATCTGACTCGACGCCACCAGAAGCTCGTGTGTTACATCATTACCAAACACTCCTATCTGCGAACTCGTAATTCCACGGAGGAGCAAAAGAAGGTTAAGTGTACGGAGGAAGAGAAAAAAAAAAGGAAGAATAAAAACGTAATTGGCTGCGATGGAATGCAACGTAACAAAAACCGAGCACGGTTTACAGCGATACGTTCGATTAGGAATGAGGCTTTAATTCGATTCGCGCATCGATATTCGTCTATCTTCGCGCTTACGCAACCTAGTAACACGGTAACAGCGGGATTTTTCGCAGAAAGTAGATAACGAAACGAATTTCGTATTAGTACGCTGCAAAAAAATTGGCTGCGCCATGGAAAAATCATTCCATTGTCTGATTTATGATTTCATTTACACTTTAGGTGCCTACAGCGAGGCGGTTCGAGTGAAAGTTTGCCGGTACTATCGAAAAATCGGAAGTCAAAACAAATTGCGAACATCGTACGTGTACGAGATGGACATGTACGCTATGAACATTTTCAGGTCTTGATAAATCTCGTGTACGACCTGCGTAGAAGGCATCGAGTAGGACGGTAGGAAGAAGGAAGCCCTTCCTCTCGCGTAACGATTATCTAAGGCATCCTGTGTGTCATCCGACAGCAGCATTTTATGTAACACGAGTCGTGTAATCGCGATCCTCTTTCGCCGGCGTAACCAACACACACAGGGAGGCTCAAAGATGGCCTCTTCTGCCGTTCGCTTATCATATTTTAATGTGTATCGTTTGAAACGGTACATTTTATTTTTGCCAGCTGTTTCTCGATCGTTTGCTTGACGATAGAATAAAGAACGATTATTGGTACTTACGATAACGACGAATGCTGTAATATTCCAGTGATCCCCTTCGAAAGCACTCCCGTATCGACGACAAATCCACCACCTGATCCCAACTTTCGAGATTGGGACACACGTTTCACTGACCCGATCAACTTTACACTTGACTTTTTTAAGGAAAAACGAACGGATACGAGACGTACGATTCAACGATAACGAAGACACTGTGTAAAAAAGGAAATCGTAAACAATACGCGAAACACCCGGGTCATCCGCAAATTCGATCGGTCGCGATCAGTTGTCGTAAACACTGGCCGCCATGCTCTCTCAGCACCTGTCAATATCAGCGTACATCGCCGCCATCTTGCGGCAGCAACATCGATTCCGACTACTAGCGGTATCTACCTGTGTTCGTGCATGATACTTTTTCAAAACTACAGTATCAACTGTCGATAAAGTAGACGAGTATTCGAGACGAGATTTCGTTGATAAAATTGCATCGTTTGTTACCTTAAAATATACGTATATAGTTTATTATTGACATTTGAAGCATGTATGTTAGTTTCGATACAAAAAGGATTGTCTCATGTCCGGTAATAAATAAAAAAAGATACGATGATCAGAATAATTATAATATGAACACACATCACATGGTCAGAGAGGGAGATACAACAGCTAAATATACTTCCTTACAATTAGAATAGGGATACGTTATGAAACTATCGTGTTACCGTATGTAGCAAAATAGCGATAAACAAAATGATGCAAGGATGATACGATTATCAATAATAATACTACAATAAATAAGAATGAGTTTACCGGCGAGTAATGTGTGAAGAAGATTATCGGAGAGAGTGTGTTTACACGAACGCACGATCGATGTAGCGTCACGAGATTCACATTATGACGTTGCGCGTCGTGCAAGGATGTCACGTCGGATCGTTTCGATTCAAGAATAAAGGACGCAGAAATAAATATAGAGACTTGGTAATCCGTGGACAATCGCGCGCGTGATCGTTAAAAAAATGCCAAGCACGTACCGCAAAAATTGGTTGCCGCCATATAAACTACAGTCTTAGTCCAATCGATAATCGAGCGGACGATCCGTGCGAGAATTCGTGAACGATTTGGCAGTCTCGATACGATCGATTACGGAAATGATAATAAGAATCTCCAGTGTAGTCGATTAACGGGTATCATAACCCAACTTAGGTGTATCACCAACGAGATATTCGTTCCTTGAAATATTTCTTTTTTTTCTTTTTCTCTTGGAAAGACACGTAGCGTTAAAATTCAGTTGATGAAGTTGATGAAATTTTTCGTTTTAAAACGAACAGGTGTGCGATCGAACCGTAGAAATCGATACCCTCCGTCGATCAATTCGTTCGATCGTTGTAAGATTATCAATCGACTCGAAGGAACTTGTTCTCTCCGATCGTTTTTCAGAATATTTCATTCGAGTCGTCTTGAAATCGTGAATATTTGTTTTTTTTTAGAGAACATCTTTTTTTAAGAGAGATTCCGACGAGGATGAGAATTTGATCAATCTAATACAAATAATTCTTAGGTTCTTCCGTTGGCTGGCCGCACACTCCGTGATACTTCTTCGTAACTAGGCTCCGACTACGGCAATTCTCAATTTCCAGGAAACATTCGTTGCTGTAGGTCATGCCGTCGGTGCCGCAAACGGGATCGTAGTACGGCGGACAGATCTTTTGGCAACCACGGAAGAGGAAACCTTGCACGCATCTTTTCATAGGCACCACGTACACGTGTTTCCTAAACGAGATACAAAAAAAGTGAAAATTTCTGATCGCTTCGCCGATAGAACCGTCTAAACGATTGTGAAAGCGCGTAAACTTCAGCAGGGATGTAATTTCAAACACAATTACTGCTCACCCGCAATTGTCCCTCTTCATCTCGCACTCGTTACGGTAAAGCTTGTTGTCGGAACCGCAAACAAACTGGCGTTCTCCGCTACAGATCTGGTTGCAAAGTGCGGTAGTACGACAATGTTGCGCTGGAACTTGAACCACCCTCTGACCGCATGTCTCACGCCGCAGATGGCAAAGGGATCTAAAAGCGTATAAATACACAGAATGACGCATTTGTGAACACAGATTTCTTCACAGGAACAGAACGTCCGTTGTCTCGAGAGTTCTTGGCGCATTCTACAAATCTGACTACTTCGTTTCCACGTTGAAAATTCTTCGAAATAAACGGAGGAGAAAAAGAATGTTACAATCACAGAGGTGGGAATTGGAAAGGACGATGTTTTCAACGGTACACAAATGAGAGATACTACAGATAGAGCTAAGAGAAAGGCTGAAAGTGTCCATCGACTGGAACGTAACGAGCAACCATCGGTGATTCACACGCCCTTAAAACTCTCGGCGCCGAACGTCCTGGAATCCAAATAACGCTCTTAATCACCGGTAAACGTTGCCGTCGCTTCCACAAACTGGTTCCTCGGGTACCTCGCTACAGTCTTCGGGGCACTGTTCGGTCTCTTTCAAGGTTGTGCACTCTCCGACGTGAGCCAATTGAATACCCTTTCTGGAACCGAACGGTAACGACAGGGATTAACGTCTGAACGATACGTTATTAATGACCTACGTAACTAACGTGCGTGACGTGAAACGCTTAAACGTAACTGTTTCCTGTTACGGTAATTAAGTGTCGTTTATTGTACAATTGTCATAGAACGAGCGTTGAAAGGAAATTCACCATGGCTCATAAATATTAGCCTACTCGTTCTTTCATAAATATTCCACGGAATTTTTCAATTCGACGAAAAGTACGACCGAGCAAATATTTATAGCCGTGGAACGCGAACTTACAGGCACACTGCCACGTTCAAATGGCACTGATTCGGGTAAGTATTCGCGTCACTTCCGCAAACTGGATCCACGTCGTTTCCACATCTCTGTTGCTGTTTCATGCATTTCGTCAAACGAGGTCGACACTTTTCGAAATCTACCACGCTCACCTTTCTTCTTGCTTGCCTGAAGAGTAAAATGGTAATCGTAAAAATACACTGTTCTTCAATGCAGACAGAACGATAGAAAGGATACAGAAAAATCTATGAAACTGATATTGTCAAACTGACCCGCAATTAAGCATCTGCATCTCGCACTCGTTCCTGTATACACTTCCGTCTGATCCACAGGTCGGCACTTCCGCCTCGTTTTTGCAATCGAGAGGACACGCATTGGTCTGGCCACCGGACGTCCGTTCCCGCGACACACAGAACGACATTGGCACCTCGAACACGTGCTTGCTAAACGATTTCACACAAAGTGAGTATCCCGATGAATGGACGGAAAAACCAGAGAAGATATCATATACATATTCGCGGCGTACAACTTGTGTAACGCTCAAGATCGAGGACTTTCTCAAGGATGTGCTCCTTCTTACCCGCAGTTCTTCGCTCGCATTTTGCAGGTGTTCGAGTAAAGGATGCCGTCGCTACCACAGGCTGGCTTGGCACCGCGCCAACACGATTCACGACAATGTCTCGTGGTCTGACAGTGCTTTTTATTCGTGCGCACAACTCCTTGTCTACGATAGAGAGAGAGAAAAAAGAACAACTACCGTTGAATCGAACAAGAAGTACTTTTTACCAAGGTTTACATTATTTAGATTTTACATCTACCATAATATGACAAAATTATTAAAGAAACGTACCCGCAGGTGAGAAGCTTCATCTGGCAAGTAGACTTGTAGACGTTTCCGTCGCTGCCGCAGATCGGTCCATCGAGAGGTGCAAAGTCGCAGGAAACAGGACAATTCTCTCTGTGAGCTGAGATATTGTTACAGGGTCCGAGGTGAGAGAGCTCGATGCCGACACGGCAGATCTCTACCCTGAGCATGCACTTGTTGAGATACGTGCGTCCATCGGTGCCACATACCGGATCCTGATCACCTGGACACCGGTGCTCGCACTTGCTACCGGACGACCTGAGGCAAGCTGTCTTCTCCGTGGCTACAGTCACGCCTATGCAATTTGTAAAGCACCGATAATTACCGGTCCTGATGCCGGTGTTTCGTCCGATAGTAGCCGCTATCGGTGGTCTCGAATGCGCCAAATACACCGGGTTTACCTCGTTAATAGATTATCGTTAATGCTAGAGTTAAGGATTTTAAGATGGTTCTGGATACGGTAAGACTAGGGAACGGCAAGTGTCGAACGGTGGTCGTTCGATGCTGTTCGACGGACGTTGTAAAGCAACTGTGCAGTCGGTAGGGGAAGATTACGCGAGCGTATACGTGTTAGACGGTGGCTCGATGATAATTATTATAGTTACAAAGAGGCTCACCCTTTCCACACATCTTCTTCCGCATTTCACACTGCGACGCGTAGATCACGCCGTCGCTACCGCACACTGGCTCGCCGCTCGGCGGGCATATTCGTGGACAGGCGCCCGTCACGAAATCTGCGTGAAGATAGAATCGATTAGAAGGTGAATTTGACACGTTGATTGACACGTTGATCACCTGTGACCGGAGACTGTTTCCTCGATGGGACTATGGTGGTCATCGGTGACCTCAAATGTTTAGAATAATTAACACTTTAAGCGCCGGGCCCGCCTAAATGCGTGTTTACATGTTTGTGCAGAAAAAAATAGTATATCTCTTGAACAGCAAGTGGCTGAATATTTATACCGTTAAAAATCGTCGCTGTGCCTGTAATAAGCACTATGTAAAATTTTGGAACAGAAATTTTCTGTTTTACAAGAGTCATTTTATTTTATTTTGTAAAAATGTATGTTTCTACAAAACTCGAAAATATTGCAGCGCTTTAAGTCAAGTTTCCAACAAAATAGCCGGCGCTTTAAGTGTTAAAATAAAATGAATATCGTCAACTAAAAAATTTGAACATCGTAGCTAACTAGACATTATTCTGAATTAAAAAAAAAAATAATAAAGCATAATAGTTAGAGCAACGTGTAAATCTGGGGTGGCAATCAACGCGTTTAATGGTGATTTAAACAACGTAATTGAGTGCGTGGTTTAAAATACCGTTGATTCTTCTAAAGGTGTCTCGATAGGAAATATTTTTGTTATTCGTTTAATATCGTTGTTATTCCTGTGGAACACGGCTGAAAGGAATGGCGCAAACAGAGAATTAAACGTGTTATCTCGTTAGCAGTATGATTGACATCGAAGTGAGATAAATGTAACAGGCGTGGTCGAACTTCTTCCTCGCTCGCGACAAAGAACCGTGTAGTATCGTAAAACGAAATAACATTTACTGTTACTCCGGTTTATTGCCGAGCCATCAAGACGCATAAGGTCTTCTTTATTAAACCGGCAGTAAGCGTTAGCCGTAATGGCATAATTACAATGGAAAGGTGAACTTACACGGCTGTAGAAAGAAAGTGACTTCGGTGGAGGTATAAATACCTGCGAATAATCGAAGGAAACAGGGATAATTGGAGCCCATGGATCGTTTCTTACGATCGTTCGTTCGTTTTACCAGAAAAAAAAACAGCGAAGGATCTTCGCGATCACGGTCTCTCGTTGTGCGTGAAAGTTTCACGAAGGTTGCAAAACGTAGGTACCCTGTATTAACGAGCGAAATCACAATGATTTTCGAGAGAGGCGGTTAACGTTAAATCTCGACGAGATTCTGTCGAAACTTTAATTGCTTCCTGTTGACCCTGCACGAGGATATCTACAGTAGTACGGGTCCGCTGGTTGGTTTCGGTCCAGTGATCGTTGGGTCAACAGCACACGGGATTTACTACGGTCGTTCTCCACCGACTCGCATAATATGTAACAAATTATAAAATCGACGGTGTACAGTTAAAGATAACCGGAGGCGCGGTCGCGCCGATACGCGTACCATTTAACCGATCGATGCTCGATCATCCGACTAATCGGCAGATGCGTATGGAACATCCTCTGAAATCGATCCCAGTCTTCTCGATCACGAACGTAACAGGTGTTCTAATACTTATCGAGCGACAGTGTGTACACGAAGTTTTAGTTAGGGAAGTGACTAATGAGAGAACTGGTAGATCTATGTTGAAAAAGAAGTTTAACGCTCCCTTTAACGCTCAAATTTGTCTCAACTTCACCGTGCCAGATAAGATCAATTTTGAATTATTTTCTAGACAGACAGAGATAAGTTTCCCATTATTTAGAACGCTGTAACGTTAAAAAAGAAGTCCGTCAGCTCTGACACGGAGCGTTTAACCCCTTAACGCTCAGATTTGTCTCAACTTCACCGTGCCAGATAAGGTCAATTTTGAATTATTTTCTAGGCACACAGAGATAAGTTTCCCGTTGTTTAGAACGCTGTAACTTCCTCTTGTTTGCCATAACAGAAACAACGACGAAACACGGAAAGCGAAAGAAAATAGTTCGAAAAGAGAGTGCACTTATTGAGAACGATCAGCTGTGCACGCGCGAGTCACGTGGACGAACGTTAAAGTGTTAAAAAAGCGATATTTCGACGAGAAAAGTTAATTCCCTGGCAAACATCAGTTACGAGATCCAGTCACAAACGTTCCGCAGACATTGTATAACGTTTTAGCTCATTCCTCTCCTGCCTAAGTAGAGATAACGCGGCCATCGCGGATAGCACAGGCTCGAGCAAAAAGATACGATCCTCTGCGAACCGCTGCATACCGGTACGGAATGTCAAGTGAACAATACGAGCTTAATGGACGATTCGCTCTCTTCTGTTCTCTCTCGCAACTCGATAATTTATCTACGATCGGAGTCACGCATCGCGCGGCTCTTGCGCGTTCACGCTCCCTTGGTTGCTCGTAAAAACCATTTTTCTTCCCTTTTTTCTCTCTGCCTTTCTTCATTGGAATCACCATACGGCGGATTACTATAGCTTCTTTCCGCGTGTAACGATCGAGTTCGAGGCTCCTCGGGATGCAATTTGCTGGAGATCGCGGCGCGATCAAACCGGAGGACGCACCTTGATCCCGTTTTCTACAGCGGCGGCGGTAATTCGTAGCTTCGCTACGAATCCAAGAATCATGCCCGCTCGAAATTCACAAAGTGAACGAGGGGAGAGAAGATAAAGCCGATGATACGCATTGTAATATAAGGGCGGACGACAACGGCGAACTTTCTTCCTGCTCGATTTATCACCGCGAACATCGTACGATATTACATAGCCGCTCTTCTCTCTCTCTCTCTCTCTCTCTCTTTCTCTCTCCGTGTAATAATCGATTTACTTTGTCTCTCCTTCCTGATTCCCCCCGTGCCACGCTAATAACCCGAATACGGCGAACAGATAAGCGTCGCGGATGGCTCGCGAGCGTAAACGTGTACGTAATTACGACGATTACGATTCATCGATCGGTATACTGGATTAGCTAATATAGCTCGTTCGCGATGCGCGTGTAAGTACGCGACGCGATATCTAAATTGAATTTCCGCCGAGGATCTCGATGCATAGATGGAGAGAGGAGATAGAGGAGGTTCTGCTGCCCCGTTTTCGAACCGAGACAGTGAATATTTGAGATTCCTTTAACACGTTCGTATATTTTCGTTCCTTATTTCCCTCCGTACGAAACACCGACGAATTTTAACCGAAAGATACCCTTGCGTAATGACGCGTAATCGATCCGGAAATTTGCCAAGTTAGAGAGAGGAAGTGTTCCCCGACTGGGAGAGACTATCGATCAAGCCGGCGAAGGCGCCAGAAAAACGGAAGCCATCGCCGAAGAAGATCGCGCGCAAGAAGCTGTAGATTGCGAGAAAAACGATTATGATTCGCTCGTACGCGTCGCCGTAACCAACCAGCCGGTGTACAATGTAAGCGTAGAAGAAGAGGAACTCGGTGGAACAAAGAAGAAGAATAGGAAGATCGAAAGAGGAGGAGGAGGATTCTTCCTCGGAGCGGACGTCAGTTGGCCAAGTGGACGTGCGATTAGCGCGTTGATGGCGCGGTCAGAAGGAGGTGTCCGTCACTCCCACGAAGGCGATTAAGTGAATCAATTATGCCAATAAGGGGGCGACGTCTGGCCAGGGGGCGATTGGCGAACAATGCAGATCGAATTATATCCCCGTAGAAATTGTACGGGTCGCGCGAGCGAGCAACCGGCGAGCGCGTGCATGCATGCACGCGGTGCACAATGGATGCGCGCCACTTGCTGCAACACGAGAGACGAAGATCAACGGTGGACTCGTAAAAAAAAGAGAAGGGGAGGAGGAGGAGGAGGAGGAGGAGAGAGAAATATGCGGGTCGGTGAACCACGGCAAGGATGCAAGAGCCGACAACCGGGTGGATGCTGGCTGCTCCTTGTGGATTTTTGTCCACGAAACGAGAAGCCGAGTTGGAGAAGAAGAGGCGACCGGGGAGAGATCGATAACAGAGAAATAAGGATCTGTTTAACGAACCGGAACGATTTGATACGAATAGGTGTACTATAAGCCTAGGCTCATAAATAAAATGGACAATGTGAGGGACTCTCTCGCGCGTCTCCTCCCGCTCTCTTTACCCCTTTTGTTTCTTGTTTCACCGAGTCGGTTGTTTCCAACCAGGAGACACTATCAGAAAAACGGGCGGGTTAGATGAACTCGATGGACGTTGCGGTTCGAAGCGCACCGGCTCGCATGACAGAACCTTTGATTCGAGGAAAGATAATTAAACGAGCCGCAAGGGGGGAATTCGTTTCACGAACGCCTCTCTTTCTCCGTCTCTCTCTCGTGAATCCTTAAGTGGCCGGTGTCAATTAAGCTCGGACGTTAGGTGCAACGCGTGTTAAACCTTAGGTAGAATGAGAAAAGAAACGCGGTCGTCTTGTTCTTGTTGTTACGGCTAGGTAAACGAGATATCGTTTCCTTGCTCGGTTCCTTGCTGTGTACACCGTTGAAGAATATACACGGGAATAGGAAAAGGGAATAAACGGACGACCTGTGAAATCGCTATGGACCAATCGACTTAATTAACGGTGGAAGCCGGTGGTGTATATTATATCCGTGGACGGTGCATTGATAAATGTTGGCGAGACAGGGGGAGAGAATGACTTGGTTCGCGCGGAAGCCGGAATCGTCGAATAGTTTCCAGAGTTTCTCGAGATTCCAGCTACGGATCCCGCTTGGAACGCTTGACAAATTGTACCGTGTGCTCGCGATCGGTTATCGTAAGCTGACTCCTCTCGCGCTTCCTCCTTCAACTCGAATAGCTGACGATGCTTCCGCGAGCTTATGGGGAATCCTCCCCTTTAATCTATCCTCCAATCGTTCTCCAACCTTAGAATTCACCTAACCTGTAACCGTTATTTTCTCTACGATTCCACGGAATTGCCATCTGAACGACCAACCTGGCCTGTGAATACAAACGAGCTTAGAAAAATCAGCGATCTTCGTCGACGAAACCGAATCGCCTCCTCGATACCCAACTGCGGTGGTATCTCTTTTCGTGACCGGTTCCGAACAGCGAAGAAAATCGAGAGCAACGCTCTAG